TTGCCAATTTCTGAGATTATATGGTTGATACATCAGAAGAAAAGTCTTCGGTTTGATTTTAATCAAAATTGCACAAGAACTGTATAGTGAGCTAAGCCTAGGGTGTGTAGTGAGACAGTCCTGAGTCTAAATTCTGATTCTGCTATTGATTTGTGACATTGTGCAAGTATTGAGGTTTTCTGGGCCTCAGTTTCCTAATTTATAAAATGGGACTAGTTTCCACCTACCTCGTACAATTGTTACAAGAAACCAGTGAGATCATATATATATATATATAGGTAATAAGCTGCTTGATATACGGTAGGTCCCCGATAAACAGTGGTGGTTTTTAACAGCAGGCTTTCCAGGCAGAAGAACAGCAGGTGGTTTTTTGCGAGCGTTTTACTAAATTGTAAATGACAATTTAAACTTAATTTAAGTTTTTTGAATGTTTAAATTTAATCAATTTCAAAAACAAAATTCCATTTTACCTGTGAAACAATAATAGATACAGCATTCCAGAAATCTTTCCCCTATTTTAATGAATCAAGGATACACCAAATTCAGCTTTTAAAACCTTACCCCGAAGGGCTAGAAGTTTGATTTATGTTTCGTTTACCAGTCACTTCTATTTCATAAGCCTGACTTTTCCATTAAAATGCTATTAAATAAAAATGGGACTTTGCAATATTTGTGATAACTTAGATCTCAGTGTGATAATTGGAATTATCCTGAGCAAAATACCATTTCTCGTTGTTTTATTTCCTCGTATAGATCAGCGATATCTTTATTGCCTTCTTCTGGCTGAGTAAAACCACTTCCCCCTGCATTTGTGGCTTTGAGTCCAGGAAAACATCTGTGGCTTTGAAGGCCCTTTTCATCTTGAGGTTGTTAATTGGGATTCAGGAAGGAAGGGGAACAGAAGTCATCCAGTAAGTGCATCAACCCTTGAAAGAAATGTGGGCGGCTGTCACAGAGCAGAGAAAACAGACTCACCCCGTGCGGCTCTCGGGGTGAGATGGGATACAGGCTGCGGACACTGGAGGGAGACACCCTCTAATGTGCCATCCAGGAAACCTTCCCAGCCTGAGAGGTCCCCCGGAGTGGGTGGGGGCCGCATCATCAGGCAGCCCCAGCTAAGGCCACCACCCTGGACCATCTGCCCCTCAGATGACCCACTGGTGCCCAAGTCCTACCTACCTGGGATTCATTTCCTCTCTAAAATGACGTCACTGTGAAAAGGTGCTGGCACTTGAGAGGGATGGTGGTTCCACAACGTGGTGAATCATCTGCTTCAAAACGGTTAAAATGGTGAATTTGACGTTATGTACATTAGACCGCAATGAGGGAAAGAAGGTGACATCGCTGGGCAGAATGATCTCCAAGGCTGCTTCCAGCCGTAACATGTTATGTTTCTGAGAGGGAGCGCATGGTTTAGGGGACCTGTCACGATACCATTTAGTCCAAGACAAGCCATGTGGACACTCAGTATCTGACTGAGGAGGGTGGCTGATTAAATTGTGGTTCAGGTATAATATGGGTTATTACATGTCCGTGAGAAATTACACTCATGCGAACATACCATGGGAAGACACTTGTGATGAAAAGTGTAAGGATTTTAACTCTCTGTGATGTGAGGCTAACTTTATAAATAGATATGAGAATCAAAACATTAGTAGTGTTTAGCCCAGAGTTGTGGGATTACAAATGATTCTGATTCTTTTATACATTTCTCAAAACGCCTCCAAAGAGCATGAATTACTATTATAATTTTTAAAAACTATTCAAAATCCTTTGGATTTTATAAAGCCCCCCTCCCCATGTGAATCATGATGTGTTTCAGAATCACAGGGCAGCAACGTGGGAAAAGCCCTGGACAGATGATCGATGTGTGATTCCATTTCATCCAGGGCAAAGTGGTGCTTCACCCTGCTGTGCCTCAGTTTCACCATCTGGGACAGGGGTATAAAAATGACAGTCTCCTTCATGTACGGCGTAAAGAGCAAACGAGATCATGAAAGTGGGGCAGTTCTGTTGATTGGAGGGTTCTCAACTGCTTCCTTTGTCATCGAGTGTATGCAAACGGTACACTTCCAACTCTTTCCTGTAACAAAAGCATAATGAGTGCTTATAAAGTCAGTGATTGCCACTTATCTGGTAATTTAAGAGCTAATTTCTAGTAACAGTGCTACTTTTTTTCTCATCTTTCTTCCTATAACCTTAACGTGGAAAACATCTTATTTCATCTGAAGAGTAACCACCTGACTTTTATTGACTGTCTTAAATTCAAGGAGGTGATGATAAAACCAGTTTAGCTGAAGGAAAATTACATCCAGCCCCCCACCCCCACCCCTACCCCCACCCCCAGGAACATGTGCTCCTCCCGAGGAATCAGGTCCCCCCTCCTTTGTAGGAGGGAGCGTTTGTTTCCCCGGAACAATCCACACAGGTTTTCCTTCAAGCTGCTCTGGTTCTGCCCTCTGCCTGTCCTTGCTTTGAGATCCACTCAAAAGGAGCCACAAACAGAACTTACAGGACTTTTTATTCACCAAAGGGGTTCTCTCTCTTAGAGGCTGGTTCCTTGGACCAGTACAAGGAGAAGACCATTTTGGCAAGGCCATCAAGGATGCTGTTTCTCTATCGAACCTCTTTCCCATTTAAACAAGCTTATAGGGTATAAAGCATCATGACCTTGGTACTGTATTTGCAGCCTGCCTTGCTATTAAAGGCAAACTTTCCCAACTCAACATTTTTAGTGAAACCTTTCCCAAACGCCTAATACGTGCCAGGTCCTATAGAAACAGAGTTGACTAAGAGGTGGTCCTTGCCTTGGATGAGCTGACAAAATAGTGAGAGGGATCGGCGTATACACAAATGCAGGGCAGCTTGAAGAGAGCAACGAAGAAGGAGGTCCAAGGGACAGGAGTGGGACATAGCCAAAGGAACATCTGAGCTGATCCTGAAAGCGGGACGGGCTTGGGCCGGGCAGCCAGGGCCAGGGGAGAGCAGGTATGAAGATACCAGGACAACCCAGCTTGGTCACTGATGGTGTCCTTGGATGCAGGAGCCCTGGGGACGAGGCCATTTAATAAAGAAACAAGTAGAAAATAGCCTTGGTCTTGAGCTCAGTACCATGAGACGTGGCTCTTCGTTTCCCAGATCTCTTAACCAGTCGGGCAGTATTTATTGGCCATGTACGCTGCGCTCAGGGTGTTACCAAGTCCAAGCTCGTACTGTTCGCCACACACCTGGCCAGTAAGTCAAGAGACAAATTGTTGGGGCAAGGAATAGCGGCTTTATTCAGAAAGCCAGCTGACTGAGAAAGATGGTGAACTAGTGTCCCACAGAACCATCTTCCCTGAATTAGAATTCAGCTTCTTTTATACTGAAAGGGGAGAGGTGGGTACAGTCCTGGTTCCAGCCAGACTCCGGATGGGATGTGTTAACTTTTTTTCATTCCTGCAGCCATTCACAGGTGGGTCTGGTCAGGAGGCCTCCTGTGAGGTAAACAAAGGTATTTTAGCTTAACACTCATTACATGGAAGGCAGGGTTCCCGGAGCTGGGCCATTCGGTGCACTTCAAGCCATTAGGCAACATCCCTTTAGTGATTAACTTGTAGCGAAAGCAACAGAATACAAAGGCTAAAGTGAAGGAAACAGATCTAATGCGGAGTTAGGTTTGTTCCTCCCGATTTCATGGGTTCTGTCGCTGGAATGGACACACGGGTGGGAAGGCTTACGCCTGGCCCCCGATCAGGGAAAGCGAGATGAGCTGCAGGTGCAGAGGAGGCGCTGAGTGTAGAAGGGAGCTAGGCGTCCAGCAAGCATGAGTCTCTGCATCCAGGCTGGGCAGCGGTCAAGACCTTGGCACAGTATGTCTAGGACAGTGGCAGGAAAGGAGGAGGGCCTCGCGTGCCCGAGCAAGGAGTCGACTTCATCTCGGAGGCTCTCGGGAAGCACAGAGAGCTGTAGTAGGTGGGCAACCCAGCCAGGTCTGCTTTAAAAGGGCACCTTGGGTACCAGCGTGGAGGATGGAATTGTGATGGGAAAGGCTGGAGAACCTGTCGCTACGTCCAGGAAAGAGGTGACCAGGCTAGGGCAGGGGGAGATTGGAGTGGCTTCTCGGGACCACTGAGGAGGCAGGACTGGCCTTGGAGGCAGAGGGAGAGGAGGAGGTGGGATGTATTCTGATGTCTCCGGCTTGGGTAAGTGACAGATGGTGGTGACATCGAGGAGACAGGGAAGGCGGATTTGGAGCTAGGGGAAATGGTCGTGTCCGTGTAGGGTACCTCTGGGCCATCCTGGCACATAAACAGGTCATAGCAGATAGGTGGGTATGGAGGTGAGGAGAACGCTCCAAGCTGGAGGTGCATATTTGAGAGCTACTAGGTGTGAATTTTCTTGAATATCAGAATCATTTCAGAATAAAAGATCCAGACTAAGGAATCACAACAGTATAATCGTATTTTTTTGTTGTATGAGTTCCAAATAAGGAAATCGTTAAGCCAGAAAACGTAATTGTGCCTATTCCTAGAATTGGGTAACTGATGTATCTTTGCAAATTGTTCATTGAACTGTGCCTGTGGCTTCTTGCCAGCCCTCAATGAGATTTTTATATTTCTTAATTATTCAATTACTACCCTGAAGTAGGAGTTTGAAATCAAACCCAGACTGCTTCATAATAGAATATTCTCCTGAATCATGAGTACAGTAAAGGAAGTTGTCCATATTGGGAAACCAGGATAGCAAAACAGAGGAAGTGTTAAGTCTCTAGTCCGGCTCTGTCCTGGGTTTGAGTCCTGGTTTTGTCACGCCCTGGCTGTGTGAACTTGGGCAGGTCACTTCTCCAAGGTCAGTTTTCTGGTCTGTGTGATAAAAATCATGATAATACCACCCCCTACCCCCATCCCTGAGGTTGCTGTAAATCTAAAGGAAAGCAGAATTCGCAAGAGAAAGCTCTCTGTGTGCAGTAAAGCCTGCTCCGGAGGTCGGTTCTATCTTTAACTCCTTGTGTGCCGCAGGTCTCAGCAGCTCTTAGCCACAAAGGAAAATCCTTCGGACAGCGAGCTGGCCGGCAACACCAATCCCGAAGCCCACCTGCCCTCCATCTGCCTCAAGCAGGTGTTCCCCAAGTACGCGAAGCAGTTCAACTACCTGCGCCTGGTGGACAGGATGGCAAACTTGTTTATTCGGTTCCTGGGAATCAAGGGGACGATGAAGCTGGGACCAACAGGCTTTCGTACCTTCATAAGGTCAGTGAGACTGGCCCCTGTCTGGCTTCTTCTGTCTCCCTGACTGCACCTGGGAGATTCTGTGGTGCCAGGTCAGTGCCCGACTTGGGTCTGGATCAGTCCAGGAGCTGACACTGGGCCTGGCACATAGTAGGCTCTTGTTTGTTGAATGAATTAACGAGTGTTATGGATGTGACAGCATTCGCAACCCTATGCTTGTTGTTAAAAAACAGTTCTGCACTCCCTTGAACTAGGCCCTCAGCCCATAGATGAATAATTGCCCCTGGACTCAGACAGACCTCGTGCTGCTTCAACTGGGGTGATATTCTCCCAGGGGTATGCGGCTGAGCACCGAGCGTTTATGAAGCCACAGCAGGGAAACAAGGCACATCTTTGCAAAGTGTCGATTTCAGGAGAGAAAAGTTAAATAATTCAGGTGATAAATAATTTAATACATTTGTTCTAATATACAAATAATGTGGTTATATTATAGAGTATAATACAAAATTTGCACGCATTTAAAAGATAAAACATGAGACAAAAATTGTTTTTTTGCCACAGCCTACAGAATAAGCCATTGCCACTTAATCTCCTGAGATTATTCATTAACTTGCCTTCACCCTTTGGAGCACTTACTAGCTGTGTGACCTTGGGTAAGTTAATGACGGTCTCTGAACCTCAATGATCCTATTAAATGGGGGTGAAGCTACCAATAGCCTAGGATTGTGTGCTCTACACCTCAGAGAAACTATCTGCCAGCATTCCAGTTGCTGCTGTTTTTCTCATCGTTGGCTTTAATATTTCTATCTAGCACTTCAAAGTCACACTCTTCATAGTTTTATTCATGAACGCAAATAGTTAGAAGTCTCCAGTTGGAAACCATTTTTGTCATAATGCTTCTCTCCAAATGAATTTTATAAATTCTAACCCTAGCCCTCTGATATTCCTGCTAGGATGGCAAACAGAAGTATGAGCGGGAATTTTTGCCACTTCAGGAAACCTGAAGTCATATTTGCACAGTGATTTTGAGAAGGGCTTTGGAATAGTTCTGGGGGGAAAGAAAACCCAGTGGAAAGAGCACAAGCTTTGGGGTTTGTCTTCAGAGCCAAGCACATCACACGATAGCTCTGTGGCTTTGGACAAATCCCTTATCTTCTCTGAGTCTCAGTTCTCTCTGTACAATGGGAACAATCTCTCCTGCCTGGCAGGGTTATTGTGAGGTTGTGATGTAATATATCATAAAGGACCTGGCCCAGTGCCTAGCTTACAGGAGCTGTTTGTGAAATGGGAGTCTTGCAGTCATTATTTCCAAGAAATAATGGGAATTTCAAGAAAGTCAATAGGCATGTGTTATTTCCCTCAGAAAACTACCTAATGTGACAGCCTCTGACTCATTTAGGAATTGCATTTGACTAGATACTCATTTATAAGTGGTTTAAATCGTGAGGTGAAGCTTGGCAATGGGGATTCCAGGGCTGGTTAATGACTCCACAATGTGATCAGTGCCCCAGTTTGACTTCCTGCTCATCCATCCTCAGCATGTGCATCAAGTTTCAGGGTTGCCTTATGGTCCCAAGATGGCTACTCAAAGTCCAGCCATCAAGGTCAAGTTCCAGGCAGGAATAAGGTAGAAGGGAGGAAGAGCAAAAGGACTGTCAGATGTTTCCTTTTAATTCCTAATAGAATTATCATAAAACATAAAAGAGAAGGGGAGATGTGAAAAAAAGAATCCCAGTCTTGCCTCTGGGGGCAGGCAGGAAGCATAAACAAGCCAGTGATTGGGATCTAGAAGGATGAGGGGAGCCCGGGCTGTGGCGTCCTGCAGAGCACACCCCCTGGCAAAAAGAAGGGTTGTTGCTGGGCTGGTATCACCAGAGCTTTGTGATTATTCAAGAGAAGCTAGAAATACTGATTTTAATGTAAAAAATCTTAATATATGTATATACTGAATGTTGGCGATTCAGAAAATAATTTTGGGTTCAATCAGAGTGACTGTGCATAGAGTCCACTGTGCATGTGACCTCTGGTGTGAGAGGTCAGGGTACCTATTAAGAAGACTGCTGTGTTCACACACAAACTTGAAAAGAAAATTCTTGAAAAGAATAGAGGATGGGTCTAGCAAAGAAGGTTCTTAAAATGCAATGAGACTAGAACTGGCTGATTCAAAAATATCACTACAGATCTGTCTCTCTGTAATAGGTTTTATGATTTTTCCATCCCTGAGTTCTGTTGGGATTAAGAGCATTTGCATGGAAAAAAATGGGTATTTGTGATGTCAGCGACTATTGGGTCCTGCAGCCATCATTCCCAGTCTGTGTCCCAGTCCTGTTAGTGGGACTGATGGTGATCCGGACAAGGGACAACAGTGTCTTCAGGTGGGGAATAGGCAGCCAGAGCAGGACACAGACAATGAGCCCCTCTCCCCTCCCTCCGCACCCACCCAGAAAGTGTCCTGAGAAATTAAGGATGCAGGAAGAAATGGAGAAAACATTGCACAAGCATTAATAGATTTCTCCTTTTAAAATGTACCAAGACATCTCAACAGCAACTTAGTCGTAAAAGATGATATTCTCTGCTTTTAGAGTTATATCTGGATGTGTTCCGTCTTGCCAGCTAAATTTAACAGCACGCGTTTTCTCTTGCTAACAGCGATTCTCTCTCTCCTTTCCACTTCGGTTTAAATTTTGCTTCATTATGAATTAATAATATTTACGCCATATGTTAGATCGAACCGAGTGCCCTTCTCTGGAGCACTGTGCCCGTGACATCTTTGCTGGCGAGAGATCCTCCTCTCTGAGCCTCCCACGCAACCAGCAGAAGTTGAACTTGGCTTTTATCTGCCCACTCTTCCTCTCCAAGTTCCTTGAAGAGAACTGAAGGGAACAAAATAATAAACATTCCGATTGAATTTATTTTCAGTGACCATCTCTCATAATGTGCTGCATAGATCAGCAGTTTTAGGAGTGAATTATGCTAATGCCAGTCTGGCCATAGTCTATTTTTCTTTCCCACCCAGAAATGAGAAATAATGAACTGTCGTCCTCTCGTCGAGACTTAACGCTGTCTAACCAGCTTTTCGTGTCATTTCCTCAGGAGGCGTGTAATAGTCGCACATATTACCATGAACGAAGCGCTTCTTTTTCTTTCTTTCTTTCTTTTTTTTCCCCCCCTTTAATTTCATAATAACTGCTAGGGTGTGGAGACATCTCTTTCTCTGAGAAACAGAGATGATCTGATTTTTCAGTTTGACAGCTTTCTCAGAGGGAAATGGGTTTTTTGATATTTTCTTTCTATCGAATTACTAATTTGGGAAGCTTTCTGTGTAATTCACTGAGAACACGTTTTTCCAACCGTATCCTACATCGGAATTTGACGTCACCTGGCACACACTGCATCTTCCATTTTCGAAGCCTGAAGATTAAACAGTTTGCCAAAACCAGGGTTTATTTCTAGAAAATGGAGGCAGCTTCTCCCGCACCTCGAGTGTTTGTTTCACAAGAGGCCATTCTGCTTGGAGATTCCCCACTCGTCTCCTCTGCAGTTTCTAATCCGGTCTCCTTCTAAATTAGAGAACGGTTTTCTCTTTTTCCTTTTTCTCCCCCTTCCACTTCCTTTCCTCGTAAGGAGATATTAACATGCTTCATAATGGGTAGCTGTGGGGGGTTTTATTCTCCGAGAGGCAACATGGTGTGTCAGAAGGTTCTGGAATAGGGGTGTCAGGAGGCCCTGCCTCCCCCTCTGTCATTAACTCCTCGGTGACTTTGAAAATTCCCCTGTTCTGTGGTGATTGCTTTCCAGCAATATCAGGAGACTCTCTGCCTGGGATATCAACAGCCTTTAAAAAAATAGACAATATAAACCAAAGTTGTCCTCCACATCCCACCCCCGCCCCCCCCGATGTTTAGATTGGGGGGGAGGTTCTTTCTTCTTTAAGCAAATATTGATTATTTGTTAGCTTTCTCCTTATAGAAACCTCTCCCGGAAAAAATAAGCTGCTTTTTCTTCCACAGAGAAGGATGAGCACAAAAGAAATTCTATAAATAGGATTTTATGGAGTGGAAAAAGTTGGTTTCTAAATTTCCCATGAGATGTCAGCAGTTGTCGAGAGGAAAGGGGGATGATAATTTCAAATCTCTCTAATCTTAGGCTCCTAATGAACTTGAAGGATTTGTGATTCTCTCCCATCGTATGTGTCCGTATTCTTTTGATTCTGGAGTGGAGGGGGAGCCCATCTTTCTTTAAACGGGTTCTACTTCATGGAGAACAGCGGGGAGGCTGTCCTGTGTGCCAGGCACTGAGCTAGTCCTTAAAATAGCTCTGTATGGTGAGTGGCCTCACCCTCGTTGTACAAATAAGGACATTTAGAAGCAGAGTGCTTCAGTGACCTGCTCAAGGTCACAGAGCAGAGTGGAGATTCAAACCCATGTGCATGTGACCCCCAAAGCTCGTTTTTTCCCATGTACATTTCTAGCCCAGCCTCTCTCAGGAATCTTTCTGGGCTCTCATGTTACCGTATTTCTTGGACTTCTCTTCCACTGAGAATTTATCCTTCCATTCGTTAGTCATTTGAAGAACTGCATCCCAGGGCATAAAGCGGAAACCGCTTAAACAATTAAGAGCTTCTAAGCTTCATGTTTTTACCCCAGACTCTGAGATCACTTCTATCCTCTGAGAGCTGTATCCAAGACTAATTCAGCTCTGTGTCACCCACTGGGCCCAGAATACCACTGACAGAGTGGACACAAAACAAATTCTATACTGAGTGGATGGATGGATGAAAAGTTCGTTCCAAAGACTTGACCCTCAGAGACATTCCCTGTCTGAGTCAGTTGGGAATGTCTGGTGATCACGGGGACAAACCTGGGACAAGCTGTCTCCAAGTGACCTTGGTTGTCTTGCCCCAGCCTTCCATCCCAAAGCTCCCCAACAGGGCCTCTCTAGAGGTTCCAGCCTTACTGAGCCCCATCTGAGACACCATCTCTTGAATCCTGAGTCCTTCCTGCAGCTCTGGGCTGAGCCAC